GTATCAAAGAGTTTAATTTCAATGCTCCCACCATTTTATTGGATATCATTGAACATAATGTGACTGCAGACAAAGCTAATAGACCATTCCGCTGAGCCGAAAAAAAAGAAGAGAAGGAAGAAGCAAAGGTATCGTTTAGGGCTGATAGGGCTGATTTGTGAGTGATTCGTTGTCTTAAAAATATCACATTTGCTCTAAAAAATCATTTTGAACATGTAAGAGCTGCAAAATGCTGTGGTAGAAGGTCCATTAATGCCCAAAAAATATATTTGCTTCTTCCTTCTCTTCTTCTTTTTCGGCTTACCGGAATGGTCTATTAATTTAAGAAAGTGGTATACCTTGTTTTGATTTCGATGGGCCTATCCTACCTGAGTTTGCGGTATTGGCTATAATATTGTTCGGTCCCTTGCAAGTCCATGGCTATTGTGAAAATAAGTTGTGTATTTAATAATCGGTTTGACAAGTCCTATTGAAAGATTAGGTGACTTCCAATCACTCTACAAGTAAACACCATTCCATTTTGTTAAAATAACAAAATTGAAAATTAGGAATTTTTTAGAAGTTACAAAATTAAAAGTGTGATACAAGATTTGGATTCCTGTGTCAGAATTAAAAAAGAAATGTCTTATGCTCAAAGCCGATCAGAGTTGAAATGGCAAAGTTATTAGCCTCCAAAGGGGTAAATGTATGCAAAAACGACCAAATTGTCAATTTGGTGGGCAATAACTCTGCCATTTCGATTCCGATCGTCTTGGAGCATAAAACATTTTCGTTTTCTTTTGTCAAGATGAACTCGAAACAATAGTTACTTTTTTACATTTCTCCCGAACCACTACCCCCTTCCCCCCTCCAACTTACGTAAGTAAACACGTAAACCATTCGAAATATCACTTTCGTTTCTTCTCACCGGACACTCGCGAAACTTCGATGGTCGAGTTCCGCAACTCTAAAACTTAAAATATCACACTCTGTTTGACAATCTCACATTTTGATCACTTGTGAGAGAGTAAGAAAGTCTCGAAGTGGCGCAGACACCGTTCGGGCATGCTGGGAGCAGAGGTGGCTCTCACTCAGGTTAGCCAACGTAACAACAAAAAGCCGCTGCTTTTCAAATTGAAAAGTTAAATATTTAAACTCAAACCGTTACGAACGAAAAGCTCCCACTTGTTTTTCTTTGAATTATAGATGTTTAGTCAAACTCACATTCCGTCCATGGACAAGCCGTTTTCCAGAAAAAGTGGAACGTAAAAACAGACAGACAGACTCACGACGGAGACATCGCCTGACCCCTCATTGACTTGGACTGAGCTTCGCTCAGCGATAAACGCCTCTCTGCTAATTACAGAGTGTCGGGTCGCCTAGACTTTTGATTCAGCCGTTAATTCGATTCGCTCTCTGCTCTCTTCCGTCGCGGAGCTAAACGCGCGCACACGCCTGCAGAAAACTGAGTCGACGCGAAAATGAAAACGAGTTGTGTGACTGACGGGCGACGTCGGAAGTCTTCTTCTCCTTTTCAAAGGATATGGTGTTCTGCATTTTTTGATTTCAAATATGGGGGGATTCTTTCTCAAAGGCAAGGTCAAAAATCTTGAGCTCTTTTTTTTCTCTCTCTCTCTCATTTAAACGGCATGCTCCATCCACTTGCGGACATGTGCGACTTGCGCTGACGACACTCGCGCGCCTAGCCTCTGTCGCTCTCCTTCTCACACACGTACACTCCCACTCTCCCTCCTTGCCCCGCCACTACCTCGGCCAGTCAAAAACAAGAACGGACACACGTCGCGTTTAATGACGTCATCATGCGTTGTTTGTCTCTGACAGTCGGCGCGCCACGTGCTTGCAACATGGCCACACAACTACTGGCTGCATGCATGGCGCACTAGCGCTAAAAAGGTTTCCTTTTTCTTCTCCGCGCTTTTGCTTCTTCCTCGAAATAATTTTCACTCTTTTTCTCATTTTTCTCCATAGGCGACCGGATAGTGAGCGTCAACGGCGAGACGATCGGCGGCAAGTCGTACGCGCAGGTGGTGCAGCTGGTCCAGAGCTCGGGCGCGTACCTGCACCTGCTCGTCGTGCCCAAGGAGGAGGACCTCCTGCAGCAGGTGAGTGTGTAGTTATATTGAGGAGTGCTTTCCTATAAATTCATGCGTACGCGATTTTTCTCTGATTTTTGAATTGAGTTTTCCTTGATTCTTTTCTGATTTATTTTGGATGGTGTACATTACTTTTTTGAGTAAAGTACTCCTTGCCGGACGCGCGCGCGGAAGTATGTGTGTGTGTGGGTGTCGCCTCAAGGAAGTAGAGTCGGTTTGTGTCATTTGCGCGCGACCTTGCCGGGGCCGTATCCGTCGCGCTCGCGGTCCACCCAAAAATCCGGCGACGCGACACGTTATTATTGTAGGCTAAACGGCGACGACGCGATACGAGCTCGGCGACAGTATGCAGGGGACCCTGGCCGTGGCGTGGTGCGGCCCCGCGGCCCGCTATCGGCCGGCCCATCGACAGGCGGCCCGATCCGATAGGCGCGCGCGCTCGCGAGACTTTGATTGCCATCTCGTGCGCGTCAGGAAGAGAAGAGCCAGATAGGCCCTTGGCCGTCGCCTTCGCCTGCGCGCCTATGCCGCACCGGCACTGACACTGACCCCTCTCCTGTCCTGTGCAGTACTTCGGCGAGACGGCGCACAACCCGGAGACGAACCAGCGGCCGCAGAGGATGCGGTCGCCCGCCGACCTGGCGCGCCAGGCGTCGCCGCTCAGCTCGCGCCCCGTCTCGGGCGTGTCGTCCGGCGCGTCCGACTTCCCCAGCGGCTGGCCGCCGCCCGGCTCCAACGACCCGCTGTACGACACCGTGGCGTCGGCGTCGCGGCGCTCCAGCGAGGGCTGCACCCAGCGCCGCGAGCTGACGGCGTCCGCGCGCACGCAGTTCATGATGGGCGCGCCCGCGCCCGTGGCCGCGTCCCTCGTCAGCGCCTCGGCGACGGCGCCCGGCGCCGGCGGCCTCCCCCGCGGCGTCACCGGCCTCGCCTGGGAGTCGCTGCCCGCGCACTGCCGCCTCAGCCTGGACGCCTCGGGCATGGGCATCCTGGACGCCGCGGGGCTCGGCGGCAGCCTCCCCGGCACCGGCGGCGTGCCCAGCGCCGACAGCAGCCGCCGGGAGTCGTCGTCGTCCCTTCCCGCCGCCGGCACGGGCACCGGCACCGCCGCCAGCTCCAAGGACAGCCTGCTGTCCATGGACTCGACCTCCACCCTCCAGGACGGCTGCAGCGGCTGCAGCAGCGACGACTCGGTCATCTTGTCCAGGATACGGCGCAGCACGGAGCAGAAGGAGGAGTTCCTGCGCAGGCCGGCGCAGCCCATCTGGCCCGTCGTGGAGCCGCAGCAGCTGCAGGCCGCCCCGCAGCAGAAGGGGGTGCGCGAGTTCTACGCGCGGCCGCAGAAGCTGCAGAAGCCCGTGTGGCCGCCGGCGAGCGAGCGGGACGTTCCGGAGGCCGCCGCCGAGGACCGCGATGGCAGCAGGGGCGGCGGCGGCGGCGGTGGCGGTGGCGGCACGACGGCCGGCGAGGCCCCCAACTTTGTGGCCGGCGGCGCCGTCGGAGGCCCGTTGGCGGCCAGGGCCAACAAGAGCTACTTCAGCACGCTGAGTAGGATACAAGAGAACCAGCCCTCCGTTTCTTCGACTGGAAGGTACGTGTTGATCATCAACGTGCAGTGCAGTGGGGAGATTGTATTTTGCTTTTCTTTTCTATTTAGGGAGGCTTGTTTTTCATTCGTTTGATTTTTGTTTTCTTGCAGTGAGGACACTGTGATGAATGGAGACTCGACATCCTTACCATCATCTTGTTCGTCACGCGGTGCAGAGGAAAACCAACCACACTTGCCTGTGATTCATTTAGTGTCTAGAAGAGCTCGACATTTTGAAGCTGGTGAAGAAGAGGACATCACAGATAGGACCAGCTTTTACAAAAGTGAACTTGCTCGACTGTCGGCCAAGAAAGGTGTTCCTGAAGTTGCTGTTCGAAAGAGAGAATTTGAGTCACGTAGTCTTCAAGAGAACTCAAGCTTAAAGAAATTAGAAAAAGGTACCTTTTTTTCCTCTTCTTATTCATCTTCTTTTAGGAAGTAGTAGCATGCTTGGGTATTTGTAATTTTGTTTACACCCCTTTTTTTTTTCTATAGCTGGAAGCCCACCAGCCAACAGTAGTATACCTCCTAGTGCTGTATCTGGAAATCGGTCAATACCCATTGGCAGTTCTAAACTGCACTGTGATCCGCCCCCTGATTACAAACCATCACCAGGTAAGAATTTGAGCTTTTTACCTATCTAAATCTATTAGAGATCCTGGCCTAAGTTGTTTATTTTTTCATCAATTGATGCAGAAGATTTATTGTATGGTTCAGTAAACCACACTCAACCAAGCTCGTTAAAGATCAGAATACGATCTCGATCTGCTGATCCTTCTCATTATGATCAAAGGAATAAAGCAGTTCGTCAAGAATCCTATCTCAATGCTGTCAGTTCAGGTGTGTAACTGTTTCTAGTTTTTTCCTTAATTGTTTGTTGTGGTTTATTTGTAAAAAAAAAAAAATTTAGAGGTTTGGGTGATTAGAACCTTAGCTTAGAGACAGATCACTGTAAATTTTTTATCGTTGAAATGTGTGTATACATTTTGTTTTGCTTCTTCCCTGTACATTGCTGTTTGTTTTTCATATTAGAATATGTATTTCAGATTTTTGTTTGTAGTCTTTTTCTTTTGACAAGGCGTTTCAGGTGGAATTATTTTTAGCTTGCTTTGAATAGGGCTCTGTGAGAAATTTAGGCATGATAGTTTGCTTCTATTTTTATTCTTCAAATCGATCTGTATGAGCAGTTATATGATTGACTTTTATTTTAGTAGTTTTCACAGTATCTTTTCAAATGCTATAGTTAGTGGCAGAAGCAAAAGGGAAGGGGATACAGGCACAGTAAGCAAAGATGCTGTCAGTATTTATTATTAATGGTTTTGTTTGTCTTTTTTTCTTTGGCTTTCCATAATATTAAGACCGAAAACGTCAGGCAGTTATATCAACTGTTCTGGAGGAGGAGAGAGAAGGCAGTGATGTCTCGCCATCTCCTGCTCCAAAAATACTAGCTCCCGATCCATCCTGCTCTACTCCTACTTCCCCACCAATCCGTCCAAATCAATTACCTATTGCAAATCCTCTTCGTCCTGCCTCATACCCTCAGCGAAATAGCATCGGGGATCCTGAGGGACTTGTGCAAGGCCTTAAAGGTTAGCATTATTATTTGTGTGGGTTGTGGCATCTTGTTCGGGGCAGTTGGGTGTTTACTAAATTGTGTTTTGCTTGGTTTGGTGTGGTCTAATTGAGCATGATATGATGTGTGGCAACGTTTTAAACCTTTAACTATCTTCTGCTGTTTTCAGAATTATGATATTTTTTTATATTTTGGTGTGTTTTTGCAATTTGTGCTGCATTTCAAAGTGTCTTTTTACCGTTTCCCACATTTTCCCCCTTCACCCTAATATTACTACGCTGATTCATTTTCATAGGGTCTTTTTTCTGAGAAAATGCTCTGTGCTCCAATTACGACTTGAAACTTCTACTTTTTTGACTGTATTAATTTGTTTTATGTGGATACTTTGTTAATTTTCCTTTCATTGCATCTGTCAATCTTTCTTTCTTTCTTTCTCTCTTTGGTTTAATGAAACTATTGTCAAATTGTCAAGTCAGTCAAAGCATGCTGTGCATGATGATACCTTAAATTCAAGAAACATTAATGAAGATTGATTTATATGTTTATAATAATAACAAGTCTCAAAGAGCCTTTCATTTTAGTGGGTACATGGTATAATTCAAAAGTACAATTACTAACTAATCGGGCATTAATATTTCTTCTGCAACAGTACTATTGATTTCATTTAAGGGAAATTTTTAAAAAAATTCTCTCATTATTTTACAGGACAACCTAGAGCAATAGACACTTCAACTGTTGTAAGAAGACAAAAAGATACATCTTCCAGTAAGTGTTTTCCCAATCTAATCTCTCTTGTTTCTACATTTCACATGTGATTTTTATATCTTGTCTTTATTTTGTTTTAGTTGATGAAGACCGTTCCACTAGACGCGTTTCATACCTGAAAGCCACATGGAATGACCGCATGCACGTCGACAGTGATTTAGAGCTTAGTGACACCGAACCAACTCCAAGTGTGGCTCAAAGGAGGTAAGAGGAATTTGTTTCTTTTGTCATGAGCTATAAGTGCTCACAATATTATTTGTGTTTATGAAGCCCATGAAAAATCTAGTATTCCTTATATTCTCTCAAGCTTGCAGTTGTTGGTTGACTTAATTTTCACTTTAGCAGGGAATCAATGTGATAGATATTAATTTTAGAGTCAGGACTACACTGGCATATTACGCATATTTTCCTTTTTCTTTTCTGCTCAACTTTTCTACTCAACAAACTGGTCTTTTAAAAGTAATAAATAAATGTTTTCCCATTTTCCAACTTTTTAAGTATGGTATTGCCTGTAGGAAATATGCATATTGTGCCCAGTGTATTCAACTCTGCTTCTATAGGCTTTTGTTACTGTCAGGCCTTAATCTTTTCTTTGCTATGTTGATCTCCTTCTCGGTAGCATAAGTTTTATGTTCATTTGTATGTGAACTATTTTATTACTGTCAGGCCTTAATCTTTCTTTTGCTATGTTCATACGTATGTGAATTATTTTATTTCACAAGACTCTCTTTGCATTCCAATGGTAGTGGTTTCTTTCTATATTTTGAAATCTTATTTTGAGATTTATTTCTCATTATACTGGACTGGTTGTCACAAGACATCTGCAACCTTGCAGACTCAATCGCAAATGGCGCCCACCGTTGTTCCCTGATGATATTCAGCGCCTCAAGCGACTCTTTGAAGATGCGGCAGCAGCTGCCACAGGCCACTCCATCAGTCTCCATCAGGGGTGAGACACATTTGTGCTCGCTGCCTGCATTAACATAGATACTAAAATTAATCATTAACGGCATCTTGTAGCTTTCTCACAATATTCTGTTTTGTTTAGCAGTTTACCATTTTTGCCTTCATACACATGCTGCATCGTCTTGGAAAAACAAAACTGGGATATAGTTTGTTTTTTTCTGCTTAATATTTTCTTTAGGACATTTATGAAAGAGTTGCTAACAATCACTCACTAACTCTGTTGACTTGTGCATGATAATGTTTCATAATTGTTGGACTGACTGCATTCACTTTTGTTCACATTTTAAAATATTGTGATATTTGTAGCAATAAGTTTAACCTGAAACTGTAACAGTAATAACTGAAAACCCCTTTTCGTAATCTTAATCAGTCTACTACTCGCACCTAGTGCATGCTGTTATTTTGGGCAGAATAATAACGCCGGTGCAGCAAATACAGTATGTATACCGCGGATGACCTCCCCTCCTCCGCCGAAGGTCGGCCGCGCACCGCCGCTTCGGTCGGCGGCTTCAATTAAAAGAGTCCTCGAAAGGGTAAAGATGGCATGGTGTCAGGCGTGATGCAAGAGGCATGCGCCCGCGCGTGCGGGGCGGGGGGTGGTCCGAGCGGGAGAGGCTTTGTTCCGAAATCAGCTCCGATTCACCTGCTGCTGCTGCAGTCCGGTATTTGCCAGACGCGGCGGCGGCGGCGATGGTGTGAGAGAGAGAGAGACTACCTGGGCCCGGGGTGGAGGCGCGAGCATTTCGGAGCCGCGACCGCCGAGCAGCCCCGGCGCGTGCTGCACCGAACGCACGCGCACGCGCTCAAGTTTCACTGGTCAGTTTCACTTACCAACCCTCCTGAATCTGCTGCGGCCGGGTTATTGGTTTTATTATTGTTATTATTAACTGATTGCAAACTACTGTTGTTGCTGCTGCTGCTGCTGCTGCTGCGCGGCATGCCAAAACACTAAAGCGTAAGGCATGCAGCAGTCGTGCGCGTCTACAAGAGGAGGAGGAGGAGGAGGGAAGTCCAACGAAACACCTGGCTTTTAAACGGTGACGACATTCCAGTCGGATTGAAAACTAAACTTGGCGGAGCGCGCGGCGCGAGGCGTGTTGGCACGCCGTGTTTGGCGCGCCTGGGGAGGGAGGATATTAGATAGATTGTACATACGCCACCGGGGCCGGGACCGGGCTGGCCGACCGGGGGACCTAATTAAAAGCTCATTTTATGTACAGTGGTACGTAATTTGTTCCTTCTTCGGTTATTGGCAAATTGACAGCGTCGCGGTTTCACCCACCACCACATCACGGTGGTGTGTGTGTGTGTGTGTGTGTGTGTGTGTTGGGGGGGGG